TTAATATTATGTCGGGGTAATTAATACGGTACTTATACCAACATCATAAATTATTTATTTTGTTATTTTAAACTTTTATCAGCGTTACTAAAAAGTATTTATAATGATATGGGACATAGATATGCGCAGACATTGTTGGCAGACGGTCCATTTCTTATTTATTACATTTATCCTTTATATATATACCTTTTCAAAAAGACAAAAAACTCGATTTTTTTTTTTAGGAAACCTTAATTTATTGATGTATTCAATCATCACACTTCAAAAATTGTCATAGGTGAAACTGGTTTCAGTTACTCAACTCTTGTTTCATAACAGTCATTTATTGAGATCACTGCGGAAGCCAGAGGATCTTAATTATATCTTTCATAATAAAATTTAGTATCTGATTGGTATCTTTTTGGTATCTGATTTTATAGTACACAGTAAGGGCGTCGATCAATATCGTTGTTAGGCGGTGGACAAGAATCAAAATATGTCCATAATGACTGCAATATATATGCAGAATACTGTTCTATTTTCACACGATATTTTAAATGGAATAATTTCTACAATATAATATGCCATCAATCTGATTTTTTACTGCAGGGACATAGGTTTTGTGAAATTGGACGCAGATATTTCACGTTATTTTCCAAAATAAACTTGAAATCGTAAGTGGTTCATCTGCATACCTTGTAACACCTGTGTGCATGCCTACGATATGGACTAATTCTTGTCTAAAACCACAAACTACGTTTTTCATAGTTACAGCTTCGCATATGTTCAACTAGGGTTTGAAAGAGGGTCTTTAGCATCCCTGAGTTCAAATTTAGCACCCATAGATTATTTTTTTTTTTTTTGTTAATCTACTAGGTATAATCAGATTGAAATACCATCAATTTTATTTCCAGCGATTTAACAAACTCAAATTTCTGGGCTCTAGTCACGCCTATGTACATCGACACCAGTGTTACAAGTTTTAAATCGTTCCGCCCCCTCCTCTTAATTGGATTCCAACTACTAAGCTACCGGTACGCCATTAATGACTTACGCATCACGGCAGTACGACGATCCGTCCGACCGCTGCTAACTGCATTGGCCGCGGCCAATGTACATCATCGATTCATCAATTTACAACCGCAGCATTTTGACGGTGCCGCGAATCTAAATGGCCAGTAAAGCGTATCGGATCAGAAGGGGTTATCCCGTCGCTTTTATCACCACACAAAATCCTCGTGTCGCAAAATCTACTCAGACTATATCCACCACCACCTTGGGTGAAATCGTACTGCATCACACTGAACTAGTATCACGATCGATTTGGTTAACACTTTTTGTTCACACGGTTCACGCGACGTTCATGAGCGATTTTTAATGTTTCACCGGTCACCCGAACAACACATGTTTAAGAAATTTTCAATTAACTCCTTATCGGCACAACATTGCATAGTCACAATAAATATTTTAGTCTCACTACGTTCACTGTGGAATTTCGGCGAATTTTTTTTTTAGATTTTCATTTTTACAATTATAATTATTACCACGTTTTTTATTTTATTTTTTATACATAATTTTTATTTAAAAAAAAACCACTAATACAATCACGAAATTACGTAACGAAAAATAATAGTAAGACGTAGTGTCCAAGGTGAATTGTTATTTCATATATATTACGAACATTTATCAAAGAATATTATTAATCGTACCAAAACTTCCGGATCGACTAAATTTGAAGTTCTCTTGTCAGAGAAAAATGAAAGGCGTCGAGCATGGTTATCGTTTTGGCGAAATAAGAATAATACTATTACGTACTATGTAGATGAACCGCGCGAAAGAAACAATAGTACTGTGCAAGTCAACAATTATGATCGATAGTACTCATTGTCAAACTACGAGGTGGGAGTGATGATAAATGTAAACTTTATTAAAAACTCTTGTGAATGGTTTTAGTTCACAATCTCATCTTATTCTTTATTTTTAATACGATTTGACGTTCTATTTTGGGCTTTGAACACTTGAATACGTAGTTGTTATTAAAGTATTATTGGCTATCGCCGATTAACATGCATGCTACTACATTATTTTTATGCGTTTATGTTTACACAAGTTATCTCCATGCTCATTACACTGACAGCCATTGATTTCTGTTTAATTTCCATTTGTAACAGAAATGAATATTTTTGCGGAATTAATTTTACACTATAACGTTGTAAACGGTGCATTACTGTAAACGTGTAGAATGTACGCATTTTTGATTAAAAAGTTGAGTGAAATGGTGAGTATAACAAATTGTATTCCTTAATATATTTCATCCCACACGGGTCTATGCTGTTTTATTGTATTATTATATTATTGTATGCTTACGATGTTTTCAATGTCGGAAATTTTTCTCATTGACTAAAAATCGTTATTTTATTCGGTTATATTAAAGTCCCGTGGTGTTTTGCGCATTGACGGTAATATTTATTGTTTGATATATAAGATAAATTATATATTTTTTTTAATAATAGCAGACCGTTTTTTTATCGGTCATTATTTTATGTTTTAATACAATATCATATTATTTATAATTATAGTGCTATCATAGTTGTTAACAAAAAACAAAAAAATAAAATACAAACACATTATATTATAATAATATATATATATTTTTTGCATACATTATGAAAATATTTTTGAATATCGAAATCGAAATATAATAGATACCACGTATTATGTTTCATATATATTATTTTCAAAGCTTGGAACATAGTGGAAACAATTCATATTTTCTATTAAATGATTACATATTATGGTCGTGACGATGATATGCCGAGAACATGTAAAATGATTCGAAACCGATAAAAACCATGCAAATTTCATATTATTTTTACTATTATTTAAACTAAAATACTAAACAATAATATTTTCATTTAAAGTCTATAATATTAAATTATCATCATAGTTACTTACCATTTTTAATATATTAAGTAACTCGACTTTCCTCAAACTGTATTTGAAAAGTTATTAATTTACGAACATAGTTTAAAAACTTTAAACACTCAAATTAAATTAGACATGTTCAATAAAATTTATTTATGAAATTGAATAAAAAAAATTCTATATAAAACAAGTTTTAAATGTTGCACAATATTAATCCGATTGTACCACATAAGAATAACATACGAATATTTTAATAATAATTTCGATATCCATTGATCATATGTGTTTGTTAATACATTTGTTATACCTTTAATCATAATTTAATAAAATACTATATAGAAATTTAAATGCAATATTTGATTTTATTAGTAAGATTTTAATTTTATATGAAACGAATCAATTAAGAACAATTGTGTGCAATTTAGTTTTTATAATTTTTCAATTACCAACGGTTTTAAATAATTATTAAATTTAATTTAATAATATGAGTCATATGTTATAATATTATATTATGTATTTTATCTGCAGACTCAAACCATGATAATATTAATATACATGCCAAAGAACAATCAGCCATTGTCTGAGAAAAATAATGTGTGATTTATCTAGTAATATTAATATCGATCAAAATGTAATATAAAATTAAACGTATATATTACATAAAAAATTCAAATTATACACTCAGTGACCAGTTTGCTAAATATTATAGCCTACAGAACAGTTGATTTATCATCCGATATCGATGCTATAAGTTATATTTTTATTATATTTTATCAACATTTAACATCTATAATAATGAAAATTAAATTAATAATAATTAATTATACTATAACCAACATCGGAGACCTGCATAGTATGGTGAGTTGTTGTTGATGTTAACTTATAACTTTCTTGTTATCAGTATATAACATCTACATTCTTATAACTACAACCATCAACACATTTACATAATAACCGCACATACCTGCATTCCGCGTTCCTAAAACGTCGTCATGGTACCAGTGGATACATCAACTTGGTATAAATAAATACTAATTCACATTTGTAAAATATATAGATAGATCTTGTATTCTCACTTGTTTGTTTTTACAATTTATATTATAATGTATTTAATATTTAAATACAGATACACGCGTCATAGTTTGTACCACGAGGAGACCGTCCTTCTGTCTATCCTTATACGGTTTGGAATTGATCAACACAAGTCGCCTACTAGATGGATATTTTTCTCATTCAAACTATCCAACATATTTCATAATTATATCTCGTTGAAGTTCATAAAATCATTATATAGAAATTTCATTGTAGATTGTCACGCGTTTGGTCTCGTATGTAATTATATAGTGGAGCATGTGGGAATTATTCATTATTAAAGCGCAGCATATATTTAACAGTTTTATATTCTCAAGCAAAATATTTTTCTTCAAATTTCAATGTATAACATTTTAATAACGATCTAGCAGTAAGTTATTTATTAATTTGTTTTTAAAGTTTCGATAAGTTACATTTTCCAAAATGATTCTATCACAAACCACGATCACTTAAACTTCAAATATTTATAAATAATTCAATTTCGATTATAAAGAATAAAAGTGCAATATATTAAAAAAATAAAAATATATGAAAAAAAGTAGTGCTAAAAAATTATGAACATCAAAAAATAATTTGTATATGTGTGAATAAATCGATGTTATTTTGAATTTACATTTTTTTGATGACAAAAACATATTATATTTAAAGAAAATAATTGATCGAAAAATAAATAATTTTGTTACTAGTGTTATAACGATTATCCACTCAAATTTACAAGTATTGTAAAAAACATTATTTGTTTAAAATTACATGCATTATCAAATTGAGGACAACGAATATTTTGATATTAGTTTGTTTCAAATATTATATTGTTCATTTTTGACTCGAGTATTAATGATATGTTATTAAATGTACTTATTGTTTGAGAAAAATACATGTTATTTTTGTTATTTTTTTCTGAGGAAATTTAAGATTTTTGTTCGGATGAATATATTACCAGTTTTTTTTCCAAAATTCAAAGCCTGGAAATAGCAGCGTATGGACTGTAACAAAACTACCGTCAATAACAGCGAAAGAAATAGGCATATGTATATTTAAAAGTCAATACAAGAGAATGTTAGGGTTATGTTATATTGGGCCACGAGATAATTTAAAATTCCCACTAAACCGGCTTTTTTTTTTTCTATTAATTACATGAATAAAACTGACTCAACTGCAAACTGACCACTGCAATACACCTGATGATTTATTCTATATTAAGTTCATAACTAACAATCGTTGCTGCATAACAGATTTCTGTTATGATTCATATACTCGGCAACAAAGATGCGTTGCACGAAGTTCTCTCACTGTTGTTGGTTTCTTCATCCGTCATTCGCTTTGTTCGCTTCCACAACAACTGCACCACGAACACATAAGGGTCCACCGTCAAATGCAGTGCCAACAAAAAGTCGGCAATCTTATTGAACAATTTAAGCTGCCTTGAATCTTGGTTTTGAACGAAATTGGTCAGCGGAATGGATACCTGTAAAGAATGACTCCAATGAAGTTTATTAATTTATATAAGATTTTTAGGTATCAGGGGGATTTTAGATCGATAATACGATGATGTTATACGATCTATGAGTAAGTATAATAATAATTTAGATGGTTTTCTTTATGATCCAATTTATTATGATCAGTTTAGTGATGAATGTAACAATGATTTCGAAAACAGATTCATTCCGATTCTACTGCAATATATTTTTCTCTTATTTACGTTTATAACTTATTGTGTTCCATAAAAATTATGTTTCTACATTTTTACGTTTTTGTTTTATAAAATTAAAAATGTAAGTAGTCAATCGCGTGTAAAATTCACGGTGAATTATATCTGCATTCAAACTTCTTATCGCATCACTAGATCGATTTTTGCGTAGTTGAACAATTAACATGACGTTTTAATTATCAAATTTTACTCAAATAATAGACAAATAATACCATAGAAATCAAACATATATACATTAATTTATAATCTGATTGAGATGAAATATTCTACGAGGTTAACTTGTATCAGTTATTATTTTTGTCCCTAAGCTATATGATCTATTAAATCTTTAGGTAGGATCGTCTATAGTTAAAGTATTATTATTATAAAATGTCGGTATGTAAGAATATTCAAATTTTTTTTACCCGGCAGTGATAGGTAATTCAGCTAGTTAAAGTATAGAATAAGAAAAATGTATGATTCATAGTATCAAACGTAATGGATTGCAAGATTCAAGCTATTTTACATAGCGTTTTTTTAAATATTTACTGTTTTATTGGTGAATATTTAAAATTAAGACTTGACTATATTTACTGATTGTTTTCATGTATATTCAATATTTATATATTTCTCTTAAGTATTTTTTTTATTTTAAATTATTTTATATTGAATAAAATAAGTAATAGGTTTTGTATTAAAAACCTCATGATTATTTTGTTCATATAATATTTCAACATTTGATTTAGAATTATATAAGATAATACAAGTACTAGCAAGTTCTATATTTTTCATAGACCTTCACTGAGAATTATTATTTGAATACGATGAATTACCAACGTGTTAAAGATTTTACAAATTTAATAAATAATTCTACAAAATACAAATTACATGGAAATAGATTTTTTTAACCGAAAACACACAATATTTCTGTACTTTATGTATGATGACATATTGATTATTCTATGAAAACGTTTAGATAACATCAAATATCAGTATACTTATATTTTATTAGCCGTTTATTATTGTCATTTCAAGTGATTATCACGAAGTTTTAAACCATTGCAAAATAATATGTACGAATAATTATTTCTTTTTTAATCAATAAAATACACAACATATACTAAATTGATTTTATTTCTTTAATAAATTTATAACGAAGACGTTAATTATTTTTATTGTATACTGTATAGTAACACTTAATGCAATTTTTTTTAATTTTTTATTTCACCGTGAAATCTTTATACTTATGTAATAATGAGAACTCGTTGAAATATTTTACGTATCAGGTTTTAGTTAGTTTTTTTTTTAACATATTGAACAAATTTATTTTTGCCTACATATTTTAACAATACAAGTGTATTAAATACGTTTCTTCTGGTTAGAATAAATTTTATTGCGTAAATTTTTTTAATGAAGAATTTTTTTTAAACTATTAATATTCACAATACATGCATGTAAAACACATTCATAAGATTACAAATATTATGAAATACCAATGTCAGATGAAGGATCAAAAGGTGTAAGAAAAACATTTTCTCATATACATGATTATATAATATAGCTGTAAAACGAATATAATTGAAAATTATACTGAAGTACCATTATGATTAAAAACAATGATAAAATTATGATTATTTGAATATTTTTGACGGTAACTACATATTTGAATAGGTTCGAAAAAAAACGATAACAGAAACCGGTTCGTTTTTAGAAACGAAATTTCTCACAATGAAAAAAAAAATTGAGGAATTTAACTAGTCTCTCTACAAATAATTGTCCTCGCAAGATTAAAGGTCGTTTATTCCTCCTTGTTATTCGTAAAGCATAATTATTATAATAATTATATCGAAATAATATTTTCGTACGTTACCATTTGCGGAATCCAACATAAGACGAATATAATGCACAAGGAAAGCGAAATCCAGGTGAATTTTTTTTCTTCCCTTCGGGTTAACGTAGCCACTTCGCCGTTTCCTATGCGTTTTACGCTATTGAACTTGTTCAGGTTATTGAAAGTGCTATTCTTTGAGCACAGAACTCGCGTAATGTCCAAAGTCATGTAGACGATTACAGTGCAAAAAATCATACCTTGCAAAAAAAAAAAATTATACGATTTGTACTCTATTGTTTCATTGCCGTCACTAAACTTGATACGGACGTCAATCATTGATCTAACGATTTAGTATTGGTTTAGAACCGTATCATTGTAATATGTGTTTCGAGTGCATTGCACCAGTGAGTTTATACATCGAGTTATACATCAATGTTCGACAGGTATCGCAAAACCATATTTATATTTTGAACATTATTGCGTGCGCTGGAACCGTATAAGACTTACCGATACCGAAGTGTAGGTAAGCGTACACCACATCCAAAGGTTCTTTGGCATCTCGGACACGACTGCATTTTTCTGCTCCCTCTACGTAATAAATACCGAACCCGAAGAATGGCATGCACACCAAGCAAAATATTCCTAACCAAAGCTTGAATACGATGCGTTTCAGTAGAATGCAGGTAATGTTCTGAAATAATATACGTATTGGGTTATATAGTATTATAATTTATCGACGTCATTGTTTTTAAATTACGTACAAATAAAACGGCGAACCCAACCAAGGACCAATGCTTGAAGTCATTGTTATTATTATTTGGTCACTTATTTTTTATTTGATTTACTACTATAATCTATATAATACCAATGAAGATAATTTTTGTATAGTTTACCGAGTTTTCTATTTTGTTTTTTTATTTTCTATTAATTTTATTTATTTATTTATTTATTTTTTGTATTATCCTCAATAATAACTAATATAACATTGAAAACTAATGAGTGAAGTAAATTGAATATATAAATTAATTTTGATACATCGGAAATAAACTTTTATTTTATTGCGAAATAACGTACAATTATGTTATTATAATTTAGAATACGAATCGAATGTTATATTAAGCTATTAAGTTAATTGACAATTGACCTAATAAATATTATAGAACACCATAAGATATATTTTTACACTAACTGTATTACCTATTTGATAGTCATCACAAATAAATAGCACGCCCATTCGTGAATTTACTCGTTTTTCCATCCTATTAAATCTTATCATGATTTATGCTTATTTATATTGAATTGTAAAGATTGTATTAGCAAATATAAAAACTAAAAAAAAAACCACAAAAAAACTTTTAACTAAGTATAAATATATCATTTTATGTTAACAAAATAAAAATCAATGTTTTATATTAAAAAACTAAAGCGCCGCTATTTAAAGCCAATACGTACATCAACAATTCATGTACTGTAATTGTGAATCTCGGTTAGGCATACAGCCAATCTTTTTAATATATTTTTCGAAATTGTGCATCTTATATACTCGTATATTTTGATTCGTTTAAGAGGTGAAAAAGACTGTCTGAATCTATATTATACGTGATATAGGGTTACCATATTTTATTTGGGAAAAACCGGGATGAATTTTTATTCGTTTCTTATTGACATAACTTTTATTGATTTTTTGATTATACAATTATTACAATACACATTATAATATTTTAAGATAAACTAACCAACATTCTTCGAGTGATATGTTATGTTTCCCTTTGTTGAAATAATTATCAAACATTTTAAATTATTAACAAATATAAATATTAACAAATCGAATTACACGATTTTGTCAGTCATTTATTCAACGTTTTATTTTATCATGACAATATTATGAGTATTATGATTATTAAACTTAGATTACAAAGATAAGAACGATATTGAAGTCTCATTCCAAGACAAATGGTTATTCCGAAACACATTATCGGGAAACCAGGATTTTATACTCTAAGTCGGCACTGTGTTGGCCAAACCGGGACATATGACAACCCTATGAAACAGGAAGTTAGTATATATAATATCAGTTAATACCTAAATATATTATGAACTTTAAGTACTAATTAGAGTGCTCCATGATTATCAGAATATCATTTTTCCCCATGATGTGTACACATGTCATACATAATATTCGAATATAATTCTGGACGTTTCAATAAAACCTGTTATATGACCCAAGGGGAGGGTTCAGATCTGGAATATACCCACTTAGGAGCACCACTGCAATGCAGTGACCACAATTCCACTGTTCCACTGTAAGTATTATTATTAAAATGTAGGTATGCTTAAAGTTAAAAATGTAAACAAATCCATTCAATGACTACGAATGATGTTGACAAAAATTGACAATTCACTTGTTTTTTAAATATTCTGTAAAGTAAGGTAATTTTTATAGTTATAATTTAAAAGATATCTTTCAATTAATTTTTTTATACTAGGCTTGATGCTTTGTTACTAATATTTTTACATCGCCCATCTTGGATATACCACATATTATTATATTATGAAAAACACATATTATAATATTTTTACAGACCTTGAGAACTCTATTGATCGATCATATTTTCGTTATAATTTTGGTTTAACTTTAAATCATTAATTTTATTCAAATAATATTTCACTTATTTTTTTCCGCACAGATGTTTGTGTTTATATTTTATACTAATGTACTATACAAATTAAATGTTTTATTATTTAGAAATATATTTTGTAAATATCATACTAATGAATGGATGTAGTATATTGTACTAGTTATTGATTTAACTTATTGTGAATTGTTGCGTTAATTTTTTTTTAAATTCTGATATTCAGAACAATATTATTGAGACGAAACTATATGCCACCGATTTTTCCCTACATAACGTGCTACTGTACACTATAGGCAGTTATATGTAATATGTTCTAATTTTCTAAAATAAAACATTAATTACGTTAAAATGTTTATTCTTTAAATTTTAAAGTTTAACATTAAAAGATTTTCAAAAACAACCTTCGTGTCATACAAGGATATTGCCCGTATAATTACGACTATGTTAAGCACTACGCGATACACACAATACTACAATGGCATACGATAAAATAACATGTGACATTTTTTTAATTGACAATGAACATGTAGATTATATACAAATTAATCAGAAAAAGTTTCAAACAACATAATAATGAGTATGGACACAAATACGGAGAAGCTATACTGCGTCATAATGTAATATTAAAGAACTTCACATAAACGAACAATGCAAATGTATAAAAATATATCAACGGTTGTAATTAGTCTTCAAAAATGTATCAAACCAGATTTGCTGTAATGCGCAGACCTTGATTTTGATTTCTGATAAACATAAGCAGTATTAATACGACCGATGACGATATTTTTCAGTTGGGGAAACTCAATAATTGTTAAATGAATATTAGTGGAACATAATTGAAAAAACGTATAATCCGGAATTAATAGAAACTTCAGTGTTTCGAGTTAAATTTATTCTGTGTTACTTGTATATTCTAATAATACAAATTATTTGTAAACAAGTTTTATTCGTATTATTCAAGTAATCTAAGATAATAATTATTGTGTTCTTATTATTTTTTTATTCGATTCAATCGCACAAATATTTATAACATTTTAATACTGCATTTTTTGCATGAAAAAAAAAATTCAAAATATAACAGATTGTGCATATCTAATTTAAATATTCAGATACCCAAATAATACTCGGGCACTGATAGCAACACCTGCGAATAAAACACTCGTTCGAAAGCGGAAATGTGTGTACTTCGCTGAAGACCTTATCGTATGACCCCCGATTTTACTCAAACCGGTCGGATTATATTCAAATTAGAGAATTAAAGAATTGTTATATTCACTAAAACAATCGCAGTCTACAATTACGATGGATCAAAATATGTTCTAAGACAAATTCGTCACATCGAATTGGCTAGAACAATTAGTTTACAGTACGTAATTTAAACATCATAATTAAACAACTACAGTATATAACAGTGGTGTGCAAGAATCTATTTTGTTTTAAGTTTTTCTGTGATTGGTCTAGCAAATAAACAAATAAATAAATGAGAAAGATATTGATTACAAATATTTTAAAACATATTTAACAGAAATTAAAAAACGGTGGTAGCGAACACGTAATACATAATATGGTGTTTAGTATATTATTAAGTGTAGCGCATAACACTTGTGTCTCAAATACCAAACCATAAACAGTGGGATATATCACGTTCGAAAAAAATTGTTAATTTGCGCCCAACGCGTTATTTTTTTACAAGCCAAGTTGCGTCTCAACAATTGCTAACCGATTCGATTCGAAGTATCGAAATCAGATATAGATTAAAATAAACAAATATTAGTAATAATCGTTATGATTGTAAGAACAGTTAATGATTGCACAATACGCTACGGTTTTTATGCAATCGTTCTTAAAATAATCTCAATATCATAACGTACGATGACATATCAATGAAAAACTAAACCTCTAAATGACGTGTAAATAAACACATACGTCATGTTCGTAAATAATCATAAAAGAGTAGGGACTAATAGATTGAAAGCTTACTACGGACGTAGTAAATAAAACAAAAACGAACTTTACGAGAATATTACGACCCGAAGCCGGTTAAATACACAAACAATAAAGCGATATCGTTTGGCAATCGTTATTGATTATTCATGACAAGATTTGATACGTTTTTAATCGATCAAACACTGAAATACACTCACACCGGTCTCCCCCCATCGATTGAGATGGAACACTGAACTTTAAAATAAATGAAAACACATTTTCCCCGTCACGGAGGCAATGGAACGAGTGTTATATGTCTATAACGGAACGTAATTTTTAATTATTTTTTTAAAACTTTTTTTTTTTTTCTAACACTTTTCATCCCGACTTTCACCGACCGAAACGAACGAATTCGGTGAACACGAATCGGTTGTAGAACGTTTTACGAACGAAAATTGGAAATACCATTTTCCGGCGCACCTGCCGGCCGGTACGGTTATGCCGACGCGGTGCCCAAGTGACGGCCGACTGGCCAAAGACTTAAGCGCGTACGCGTTTGTGTATACGTGTTTGTACGTACGGTTCGGTAGAACGACGGTCTGGTGAGGGCCAGCCACCGTTCGATGGCCATCGCGACGGCCACGCAACCGGAACCCAGGCCGAAGAACCGCCACAGCGCGAGCACCCGGCACGTCCACAGCTCGTTCCTGATGTACGGCCAGAATACGTTGGCCACGATGATGGCCAGCATGCCGGCCAACCCGATGCCGTCGTTGGTGGCCAGGCACCGCAACAGGAACGCGCACCTCTCGTTGCCGGCGGCGCGCCGCGACCGGGCGAGCACGAACAGCGCGAACAGGTTTCCGGCCACGCCGAACGCGAACAACAGGATCACCGGCGACTTCTGCGCCAACGTGGTGGTGGTCGCGCTTACCGCGGTCGCAGCCGCCGTGTCGTTGAACATTTTCGTCATCGCCTCAGTGCGGTCCCGCGATCGCGTCTTCCGACCGTGCCGTGCTCTCGACTTGCGCCGACTGCGCGGTCCCCTGCCGTCAAGGCCGGGGCGAGCACGCGCGATTTTCCACCCACCACGTCGGCCGCCGAACCGCTGCCGCGCGCTCGAACACTCGACGTGCATCGCGCCGTGCACACGCGTATGTGTGCGCTCGCACCGCGCCGGACATCAGTGACGAGCCCGCCCAAGGCTATCCGAACCACATCCGAATCCAATAAGTGTACATCCGTCCGCGTGCGCCGCCCGTCATCGATGGCTCACGCGAGACGGGGAAAAGGAAAAAAAAATGAGAAAAAATACCGAGAGAAAAAAAACCCGCCGCGCCGACAATATCGCAACACTGTTGCGGTTACGTAAGAGCAATACATTATTGTATACATAAATAATTTTATTTAATTTCGTTTTTCACTCGCCCTCTTCTCTCTCCTCTCCGCCATAACGTGCCCCTCCTCGCGCCACGTAATGCGTCCCGAAGTAATTTGTCGAGAATTACGCTTGTTGCGAAGAATAAAAAAAAAAAAAAATAAAACACGACGACGACCAGACCGTTATTAGCAATCTCACGCGTCCTGTTATTAAAACGTTTCGAGGTAATCCGTACGCATTTTCTCGCGTTCGTAACACACGTCATTCAGTAAACAACGTGCAGCGGTGCACGATGCGGTTAATGGTTTCGAGCGCGTACGGGACGTATTGCGTCGAAAAGAGTGGACCGTAATCGTATTCGTGTAATGCGGCATCGCCGACGTTTCGAATGTAGGAAACAGGAACGTAAATAATGGGGAGGGGGGGATAGGAATAAAACGACCCGGCGCGCGAAATTCTTCGACGGTTACGATTCATTTTTCGTGGCGTTGTCAAAAGAACGAGAAATCGTTTTTATCGTTTGCGTCGTTCTTCGCGAATGTCATCGTCTCTTTTCGCGCGACCGTGAGCGTCGCGACAACCGTTCACGTTTTAACGGGATTCACGTCGCGCGTCCAACAGTGTCATCTCGCGTGGGCGTCAGTCGTTTTACACCACACAATTATTGACCATCTTTGTTCAAAATACAATCATATCGTACCGAAATCGATATTGTGTGATGGCGAGTTCGCATCTATTGCATTCGGAGGAGTACGTTGTGAGCTAAAAGCGAATGCCGTTTTTTAAGAAATAATTTCTCATACAGCGCCACTAGGAATAGTCCCCAAAGAACGTTCCCGGGAACAGGAAATATTCCCAAACCTCAGGGAAAAATTCATTAAAAAAAGAATTCAAAAAATATTGTGCATAGAACAACAGTCTCTATTAGTTTGCGTCTGAACTAGAGCAACAGTATTAATAAATGTATTTTTTTCACATCAATTGACTGAACTCCATTGTTAACCAACATAATATTGCTAAGCAATGTATAATATTAGATTATAATTATAATAATAATAATAATAATAAAATATTTATTGCTGGTAGAAGAAATGTGTACAACGTATAAAGGATACATATATGAAATTACTAATTTTGCTCTACCCTGAGGTAATATCTATCATTGTTCAGCAAGAATACATATCTAGATTTAATTCTAATATAAAAAAGAGAGAGAAAAAAAATTGATTGTAAGAAGTTTCGTTATTTCATTTTAATATTTTACATTTACATAATTTATACTTTTAATTTCTATGTTACTATGCTAGTAAGTTTATTTCTTAGTCTCATACTTCATAAACTTATTAACTTCGTGTTATCAAATCTAGTGTACACTGTACATATTAGTGTATAAAGTACGTAATTTGTTTGGCGCTAATCAAATTTTCTGTTGAAATGTCTAGTGGTTCAAAAATATTTGGCGTGTTGATCACATTACTAATAAAAAATTGAAAATGGCCAAAAGATTTTTGAATGCCGTTTTTGCAAATTTCAATATTCTTTTTAAAATGCTATTAAAACGGCATGTAAAAGTAAAATTTATTCAATATTTCAGTATGGTTGTTTTTTTTTTTACAACATATATAAATCAAAATTAGATAATATGTTTAGCAATCATTGTATAGATTTTAATAAAAAATTAACTTATAGTTATTTAATTCTTTTTTTTAAAAAACAAATATCCAAACTGAAATAAAGTAGATACTAATAAGTATTTTATTATGGTGCATTTAAGTTTAAACATTTAGTATCTAATTTCTTTTCTTTTTATTTATTAAAAATTCGTATAATTTAAACATACAGGTAGTATATATATTTATAGACAATAATAGATTAATTATTTATACTGACAACTGAAATGTAATTGTAAAAATTTATTTATTTTAGTTTATTCTCCTGTAATATTATTGAACATAAAAACATTTGTTATTTGGATCATTTACAACCTTAAGTTTAATTTAACATTGAAACATAATATGTTAATCATATTATGATGAATATTTAAAAACTTATCATGTTCCCGGGTATTTTCCCGAAAAACTTTGAACGTGAAACGGCATATTGCTTATGGAATACAGAGCATACGGGTATTATACGAGCTTATCAATCTTAATAGACTAAAATATTATTTTTAACTAGAGCCTAATGTTAGTCTTTATGTTCATAAATCATTTATCCAATTACGATAAAACACAACATAGACATCTAACCTAACGTGTTGTCTAAACATAGACGTTTATATTTGCATGCCATTTTTACTTCACTGTACGAACATGCATATGTCTACTCACGAGTCTTATCACAATAAGATTAATCACAGTACATACAATTATTAAAATTAACACGAGATAGCATAAATTACGTCTTGTCAATTTTCAACCGTATTTATTGCAATTCGATAATAATTATATGATTATGATAAAATAATTTCCTTGGATATCTTTAAACACGCTTATCGTATAAACCCAGTACATTGCAGTACTAGTGATGAAAAATGTTTCATAATTATTGTCGATTGTAAATAAAAACCATGACATTATACAAAACTGCAGTATTATTTACATAATACACATTATAAAACTCTGTGGTCATTATATTCTCTATCAAAAATTAATTTAACATACAACATGTTGTGAAAGGTTATCCGGTCAAAAATAAATGGAAAAATTATTTAAAAATAAATATTAATTATTTTCCATCTCCCAACTGCAATTTGACTGGTACAGCATTAAAGTTACACATCAGTAATTTAGTTAAAAATTGGAAGAAAAAGAAAATCTTAATATATCCGCTGTTCGTATTTTATAATGATACTATGGCCACTGTAAAATAGCAACTCCAAAGTCGTGCTTTTTTTTTTGTAAATCGCGGTATATGCTGAAAATACGCAATCCTTTAAATACGATAAATACGATAAATCATTTAATTGTTAATGTATACCCAACTTAATGTAATATTATTTTAGATGTATTAAGTAATTAAATGTAATATAATTGTACATTTTAAAACGCTACATGTTTAATCAAATTGAACATTTTGTAGCTTAAGAAATAATTTGATTTAGCTCGGCACCAATTTTCTTTAACTATTTAAACGAACATGTTACCAGGGGCATTTATATGTTTCCTACTTGTAGGCTTATGCAAAATTTCCACCAAATATTAGATTAAGTTATCATTTATTTATTATAAAATATACATTAATTAAGTAACAAATGTTATTTAAATAATAAAAAATATTTTCTTAAGAGTAAATCTTTTTATTAATGATTAATAACTACATAAAATAAATTAAATGAATTATTTAAACTTGGATATGATAATTTTATTTATTCGTATAACTTAATAATGAGCACACTAATAAAAATTTTTCCTATTAAGGTTAAGTTAAACTATTACTATTATAAATGTATAACTAATATTCATGAACATTCTAAAGTACTATAGCAAGCAAAACATAACAAATATCACAATAAGTATTACAGATTCAAGTTTAGATGTCTACATTCAAAGCCTCTAACCAGGCCATTGCCTCAGGGGTCACTTTGATGACATCCTCCAGGTCACCATCGTAGCTTTTCAATTGTCAATCCAGAATAAGGTGCTGCATTGATTTTATATTTGCACCACAGTCGCATCCCGGACTCTCTCTAAACTTTCATTTGTACATGAGTTCGTTGCATCTGCCCTGTGCGTGTTCTGTTGAGTCCAACCCAAACTTTTCTGGGGAGGTCTATCCCTAAGACTGGAGTTCGTATGTTATCTACTTGGATGCCTCTGAGTCTCTCTCTCAGCCATTCAGCCTGCCACTCATGTGGAGTGTTAGCCCTCAACTCAGTGATGATTTGAGCTCTTAACAATAACGGTTTTCGTGATTTAAGCTTCGGGTTAATAATTCCATCTTAATGCATTGGCAACTCCTGGTGTTTGTCAATTTTGTCCTTTTCTTTTAGCACACTGTTTTGTCTCCATATGTGGGAGGGGGTTCTATGTTTACCAGATAGAGTAGCCATTGTTTATTTGTGTTCAAAACTGTGCCTGATATTGTGCGCATGGCCTTCCTTAGTTGGATATCTACTACCTCTGTGTGGGCACTTCCTGCCCAAACTGAGGCGCAGTATTCTGCGGCCAAGTAGACCAGGACTAAAGAGAAAGTCTGGAGGACGTTTATAGCAGCTCCCCAGGTGGTGCCAGCTAATTTGTTGATGAGGCTAATTCTAGTTTTCAGTTTTGCTGACACCTTGTACAGATATATCTTATAAGTTAATATTCGGTCTAGTGTGATACCAAGATATACAGGCGTCTTTTCATTTTTGATTTTTTCATCGCAAAATACAGACCGATATTTCCTTGCTGGCTTCCCTGTTATTTAGATGAAATGTTATTGTCATGGTTTTGGATGGGTTCGATCTAACCCTCCATTTCTGGAAAAATTGTTCCAGCCTTAATAGGTCTGATGTCAGGGTTCTCTCAATATATTCTAGCTTCTTGTCCTCTGCTACTATGCAGATGTTGTCTGCATAAGAGAACATTTTCGATTCTGTACATGGTATGTCGTGGGTATATACATTTAAAAGGATTGGGGCTAAGACAGAGCCTTGAGGTAAGCCGTTGTTTAGTATTTGTGTTTTGCTTTTTCGATTCTTGAGATAACCTTGGAAATTCCTATTTCCGAGACTGGCTTTAATGTATTGTAACAATCGTGGGCATCGTATAATGTTTGATTGTTTCCATAGTAAACCGTTTTTTCACACCGTATTGTAAGCTGCCGAGGGATTG